TAAACTCTGGATTTAAACCCTTCCTTGGGGGTAAACTCTGGATTTAAACCCTTTCCTGGGGGTCAGACTCTGGATTTAAACCCTTTCCTGGGGGTCAGACTCTGGATTTAAACCCTTTCCTGGGGGTCTTAGAACCTGTCCTTGGGCTTAAACCCTTCCTTGGGGATCTCAGACCCTGTCTTTGGATTTAAACCATTTCCTGGGGGTCTTAGACCAGGTCCTAGGGCTTAAACTCTTTCCTGGGGGTTTCAGACACTGTCCTTGGGTTTAAATCCTTTTTTGGGGGTCTTAGACCAGGTCTTCGGGCTTAAACCCCCCTTCCTGGGGGTCTTAGAACCTGTCCTTGGGTTTAAACCCTTTTTTGGGGTCTCAGACTCTGTCCTTGGTTTTAAACCCTTTCATGGGGATCTTAGGCCCTATCCTTGGGTTTAAACTCCTTCCTGGGGGTCTTAGGCCTGGTCCTAGGGCCTAAACCCTTCCGTGGGGGTCTTAGACCCTGTCTTTGGGCTTAAACCCCTTCCTGGGGGTCTTAGAACCTGTCCTTGTGTTTAAACCCTTTCCTGGGGGTCTCAGACCCTGTCTTTGGGCCTAAACCATCTTAGGCCCTGTTTAAACCCTTTTCTGGGGGTCTTAGACCAGTCCTTGAGCTTAAATCATTTCCTGGGGGTCTCAGACTCTCTCTTTGGATTTAAACCCTTTCCTGGGGGATCTTAGGCCCTGTCCTTGGGTTTAAACCCTTTTCTGGGGGTCTTAGACTCTATCCTTGGGCTTAAACTCATTCCTGGGGGTCTTAGAACCTCTCCTTGGGTTTAAACCCTTTCCTGGGAGGTCTCAGAGCCTGTCCTTGAGCTTAAACTCCTTCCTGGGGGTCTTAGGCTCTGTCCTTGGGTTTAAACCCTTCCTTGGGGGTCTCAGACCCTGTCCTTGGATTTAAACCATTTCCTGCTGGTTTAGACCCCGTTCCTGGAGTTTAAACCCTGTTCCTGTGGTTTAAACCCCGTTCTGGATTTTAGGCCCCGTTCCTGGGCTCAGATCCTCTCTCTGGGTTGTCCTTTTTGGGTCGAGGCCCGCAGGACCCAGGGACACCTCAGAGATCCCGGGCTGGGACCGCGCGAAGCGAAACTCCCACAGCAAAACAAAGAGAAAACCCCAAAGTGGCAGAAATTGCCCCCAAATCCTCACCTGTGAAGAGGGGGCTGAACACGACCGGGGAAAAGGCACTTTGGGTTCTCGTCAGTCGGGGCTTCCTGCGGGGAAAAACCGGGAAACGGCGTCGGGAACGGCGGAATTCCCGGGAGCGGCGGAATTCCCAGGAATGGCGGAATTCCCGGGAACGGAAAAATTCCTGGGAATGGCAAAATTCCCAGGAATGGCAAAATTCCCAGGGACAGCAGAATTCCCAGGAACGGCAAAATTCCCGGGAATGGCAAAATTCCCAGAACAGCAAAATTCCCGGGAACGGCACAATTCCTGGGAACAGCACAATTCCCAGAACAGCAGAATTCCTGGAAACAGCAAAATTCCCAGGAGCACCAAAATTCCCAAGAATGGCAAAATTCCCAGGAATGGCAGAATTCCCGGGAACAGCACAATTCCCAGGAACAGCAGAATTCCCAGGAGCACCAAAATTCCCAGGAGCACCAAAATTCCCACCAGATCCATCCCACACCCACGGGGGCCACAGGTCAGGAGGAAACAGCTTCCAGCTCCCAGCAGGACCAAGGGAAGGTCCTGGTTCTTCATCATCACCATCATCACCATCATCATCATCATCATCACCATCATCATCATCACCATCATCATTGTCATCATCATCGTCATCATCACCATCATCACCATCATCATCATCGCCATCATCATCATCATCTTCATCGCCATCATCACCATCATCATCATCATCATCATCGCCATCATCATCATCATCACCAACATCACCATCATCATCATCATCACCATCATCATCACCACCATCGTCATCACCATCATCGTGACCACCAAGGTGACCACCCAAGTGACCACCAAGGTGACCATCCGAGTGATGAAAATTCCCGGGATTTGTGGGACAGAATGGGTCCCACACCAAAAATCCCGGGATTTGTGGGACAGAATGGGTCCCACACCAAAAATCCCAGGATTTGTGGGACAGGATCAGGTCCCACACCAAAAATCCTGGGATTTGTTGGACAGAATGGGTCCCACACCAAAAATCCCGGGATTTGTGGGACAGAATGGGTCCCACACCAAAAATCCTGGGATTTGTTGGACAGAATGGGTCCCACACCAAAAATCCCGGGATTTCTTATCCCGGGATTTGTGAGGCAGGATGGGGTCCCACACCAAAAATTCCAGGATTTGTCGGACACGATGGGATTCTACACCAAAAATCCCAGGATTTGTTGGACACGATGGGATTCCACACCAAGAAATCCCAGGATTTGTGGGACAGAATGGGTCCCACACCAAAAATTCCCAGGATTTGTGTCCCCCTGGCAACGATTCCTCCGGCATGGAGGGAGGGCGAGCGGAGCCCCCGGAGCAGCAGAGCTGAATCCCCCCGAGGTGCCGCAGAGTGGGGACAGCCGTGGGGACAACCGAGCCACCAGCGGGGACAGCGCCCGAGCCCCCCGGCCCCTCACGGAATCCCAGAATCCGGAGGAGCCCCCGGAGAGCAGCGAGTCCAACCTCCCACGGAACCCACCCGCGGCCACCAGCCCGCGTCCCCACGGTGCCACCTCCGCCGAGCAACTCCGGGGCACGGAGATTCCACCAGTGCCTCGCCAGATCTTCCCCAAAATCCATCCCAAACCTCCCTCGGGCACAGCTGGAGTCGCCCCAATTCTCGTTCCCTGGAGAGCCCGAGCTGCTGCACCTTCCTGGTGGGAATTTGTGGAGCAAGAAGATCCCCCCGAGCCTCCTCTTCCCCAGGCGGATGCTCCGAGCGCCTCTCCCAGAGGTGTTTCCACCATCCCCAGCGGGGATGAAGGCCTGAATCGGCTCCACCGGCTCCTCCCGGGCCCCGCCGGGAGCCGGATGCCAACCGGGACCCGCCGGGAGGAACGGCCCCGGAGCATCGCAGCACCTCCGGGACAGCATCACGGCACGGCCCCCGGGACACCCCCGGGACACCCGCGGGACCCGGGACACGGACCCCGGGACATCCCCGGCCACGGGGACACCCACGGCCACGGGGACACCCACGTCCACGGGGACACCCACGGCCACGGGGACACCCACGGCCACGGGGACACCCCCGGGACACCCGCGGGACCCAGGACACCCACGGCCACGGAGACACCCACGGCCCCCGGGACATCCGCGGGACCCAGGACACCCGCGGCCACGGGGACACCCCTGGGACACCCGCGGGACCCGGGACACCCACGGCCACGGGGACATCCACGGCCACGGGGACACCCCCGGGACACCCGCGGGACCCGGGACACCCACGGCCACGGGGACATCCACGGCCACGGGGACACCCACGGCCACGGGGACACCCACGGCCACGGGGACATCCACGGCCACGGGGACACCCCCGGGACACCCCGGGGACACGGACCCCGGGACATCTCCGGGCACGGGGAGCCCCCCGGGACACCCCCGGCCCCAGGGACACCCCCGGCCCCAGGGACATCTCCGACCACGGGGACACGGCCCCCGGGACCTCCCTGGCCACGGGGACACCCCTGGCCATGGGGACACCGCCCCCGGGACACCCCCGGGACAGCCCCGGCCGCATCCTCCCCGTGCCACCCCCGGTACCCCCGTACCTGCCCGGCTCCTGCTCCCGGCCGCGGGCCCCGCACACATCCGTGAGGCTCCCGGCCGAGGCGGCGGCGCTGGCGGCGTCCCCGGTGGCCGAGCCGCCGCTGCAGCTCTTGGTGCGGAAGAGGCGGCTGAGGCGGATGCGGAGCGAGCCCTTCCTGCCGCCGGGGCCGGTGCCGGTGCCCGCGGGCGGCGGCGCGGGGCCGGTCCCCGCCGTCCTGCCGGCGGCGCGGGCGGCCCCGCGCCCCGGCGACCCCGGCTCGTCCTCGGAGCCGCTGCCGCCCTCGTCGGGCTCCAGCGCCTCGAGCACCAGCAGCGCATCGCTGGTTTCCTCGCCGGCGGGCGGCCCGAGGCACGGGCACGGGGCGCCCGCCGCCGCCTTCGCCGCCAGCCCCGGCGGGCGCAGCCCCAGCGCCGCCAGCTGCAGCTCCAGCCCGCTCCGCGCCGCCGCTCCCCAGCCCGCCGCCGCTTTGGGCTCCAGCGCGCAGCGGTGCCGCGGGCACAGCTCGGCCCCGCCGCCCCCCGGGACGCCCCCGCCCGCCGCCGCCGCCGCCGCCGCCGCCGGGCCGCAGTCCTCGCCGGGCCGGCTCTCGGCCGCCGCGTTGCGGAAAACCATCAGCTGCGGCCGCGGGCTGCGCAGCGCCGGCCCGGCCCCCGGCGGCAGCCGCCCGCCGCCCGCCGCGCCGGCACCGGTACCGGCACCGGCACCGCCCGCCGCGCCCGCCTCCGGCCCGGTGCCATAGCCCAGCAGCCGGCTGAGCACCCGGTACGAGGCCGCGGCGGCCGCCGCAGCATCCCCGTCGCGCTGCATGGCTACGGCCGCCGCATGGCCCGCGGGCACCGGGACCGCACCGGCACCGGCGGCCGCCGCCGCCGCCCTCGCACG